TACATTTTGCATTCGAGGTAAAGATTCTTTCTTCATACAGTATATCCTTATATTTACGTAACTTGACCCGAGTTTAATGACATTAAAATCCATAAAAAAAAAGATTGTTTCAGGGAGAGGGATGTGTAGATGATTGGTAATGCAAGCTAACTGAGTCACTCTTACAAAAAGTAAGAATCAGATTGGTAGAAAGAGAGAGAAAGAGTCTTTAAGCCTTTTTAGGATTCTCTGACCCTTCACACACCATCTATCTTCCTCCCTCTCTAAACTTCTTTTCTTCTGCTTGAAAAAAAAATACTATAGAGAGATTAGATAGAGATTGGTAGGGAGGAAACACAAATTAATTCCTTTGACCCTTGATTATTATATAAAACACAACTTGCACAATTCCCAATAGAAGCCATATTTAAGAATCTTCTGTTTCTAATTTGGCTGATCTTTTTTCAGAAAGAATAAGAGAGGGAGAAAGAAGAGGAGTTATAATGGTGGCTCATAAGAGGGTCCATATTCTTCAAAAACCAACATGCATTGGCCTAATCTGGTTCTGCTTCTTGGTTTCTCTCTCTCACCATGGAAGAGCATCTTATTCATTATCATCATCAGCTTCAACCTCAACATCTCCCTTCAATCTCTCTCTCCCACACCAACACCCATTCCCTGAAGATGTTGTTCTTAATGTTCAAAGGTATCTCTTACCTTTCATGCATATTTAATCTTTTGGGTCTTCATCATTCTCAAGTATTCCAACTTATAATTTGAACAGGAGGAAAAAGTTGAAATTTTTAAAATCCTCTGTTTTTCTAGCCACAAGAAAACAGAGCAATACGTTCTCTGTTTTTTTCTTGACGTTTAACTTCCTCTGTTATTAAACGCAGGAAGCTCAACGACTCTCTCTACAGAAGAAACCTCCTCACATACCAACAAGGAGACGGCGACACGTCGACGCCACTACCTTCCTGCATCACCGGAAACCCAATCGACGACTGCTGGCGCTGCGATCCAAACTGGTCTCAAAACCGCCAACGCCTCGCCGACTGCTCAATAGGCTTCGGACAAGGCACACTCGGCGGCAAAGGCGGTCGCTTTTACCTCGTAACCGACTCCTCCGACAACGACGCGGCGAATCCAATCCCCGGAACCCTCCGCCACGCCGTGATCCAACCGGAGCCTCTCTGGATCATCTTCTCCGGCGACATGGGGATCAGACTCAGACACGAGCTCATCATCGGAAGCTACAAAACCATCGACGGACGCGGCACGAACGTCCAAATCACGGGCCATGGATGCTTGACGATACAGCAGGTGAGCCACGTCATCATCCACAACGTCCATATTCACCACTGTAGACCCTCGGGGAACACTCTTGTCGCTTCTTCGCCGACGCATGTTGGGTTTCGAGGAGTCTCTGATGGAGATGGAATCTCTGTTTCGGCTTCTCATCACATTTGGGTTGATCACTGCTCTCTTGGTTACTGTTCTGATGGACTCATTGACGTCATACTTGCGTCAACGGCTGTTACTATCTCTAACAACTATTTTCATCATCATGATGAAGTTATGCTCTTAGGTCACGACGACCGGTAAAAAAATAAATAACTTCCCGCGAAAAGTCGTTTGGTTTTATGTTTTTAAATAAAAGCGTAGAAGTTTTGGGTTTTATCAATTTAACCCAGAATTTTGTGGCGTTGTGTTGGAATAGGTATACGGCGGACTCGGGGATGCAAGTGACGATTGCGTTCAACCATTTTGGAGAGGGGCTTGTGCAGAGGATGCCACGGTGTAGACATGGTTACATTCATGTGGTGAATAATGATTTCACTGCATGGGAGATGTATGCAATTGGTGGAAGTGCTAATCCTACGATTAATAGTCAGGGTAATCGTTACACTGCACCTATTAATCCCAATGCTAAAGAGGTAACTGTTATACTAATCCATCTATTTATGCCAACAAAAGAAAACATACTCAAAACATGATTTTACAAGAAAAAATACAAGCATTATGAGAAAAAAATGATTGAATCTTTTCCTCAAAAGTAAAGAGGTAACTATTATTAAAAAAAGAGGTAACTGTTAATTATATTAATCCATCTATTTGTGCCAAAAGATAAAATAAACCAAAATCTTGCAAAAATACATAACCAAACATTTAAAAAAAAAACATTTTGAAAGGTGACAGTTCTTTTAAAACTGGATATGTATTGGTGGGGACAATTTGTTTGTAATAGTGGGCCATTACCACTTAATCCCACGCGCCGGCAAGAGTTTTATTTGCCGGTTACACTTGTTTTGTCGTCATAACGTTGACTCGGTCACAGGTGACGAAGCGCGTTGACACAAACGAGAAACACTGGGGGAAATGGAACTGGAGGACGGACGGAGACGTTATGGTTAACGGAGCGTTTTTCGTGCCGTCAGGTGACGGAGTCAGTTCTGCGCAGTACGCCCGAGCCACTAGTCTTCAGGCAAAAGCCGCTGGATTCATTGACCAGCTAACGGTCAATGCCGGCGTTTTCGGCGATCCCAGGTATTATATTTTCTACTCTTATTACGTATTTGCCCATATTCTTTATTGATTTATTTTTGTTTCTAAAACATCCATATTTTTATTAAAAATTACTGATATTATCCGAGGAACATATATCCATAATTCTTTTGTTTTGTGAGAGATAATAAAATAAATACTATTTTGAGTAATTTGTGATAAAAATGATCATGGCTTTGGTTTAGCTATACTTCGCTTTAGCTTACTTGGTTCTCAAAATTTTAAGTATGACTTCACTACATTGATTTATTTATTTATTTATTTATAACAAAAACAATATTTTCTTAGCTTATATATTGTTTCCACTTTAAAATATTTCTGACGCAGAAGTAACACTTTGCGTTTTCTCTATGCAAGAAATAAAGAAACATGAATGTATAGGCATGTCGTAAAATGTTGTGGATATCAACTAGTTTAGTGCAGTTACACATCAAAGTGTTAAGACAATTCCGAAATGGCAACAAAGAAAACCATGACGTTAACATGAACATGCATAAAGCATCTCTCTTCCTTTTTCTTTGTTCTTTGCATGTTAAGAAAAGATAATCTTTTCCCTCTTTAAAAAAATCTCACACGTGCGTTGCGTGTGGATCGGAGATCTAAACTTCTAAAAGATGAAAAACCCAAAAGCCTTTCTATAGTGTCTAATCTAATATGCTTTTCTTGATGCTTTGTCGTATTTCTTCTTCTACATGCATAAAAATGATATTATGTATTAGAAATATTCATTTCCATATTAACATCTCTTCATCAAATTAGGTTTTGTAGTTTTCTTTGTTTGACGATATGGTATATCTTTAAAACCCACCAACAAACTATAATTATAAAAATATAAAGATTCATGTCCTTATTAGCAAGTTCTTCGCTAGTTTAGGGTTTGATGGTTCATTGTTCAACAACTTGGTATATATCTAAACCGCACACATTGGATGACCTTTAAGAAAAGGAAAATAATATTCATTTCCTTGTGAAATAGTTAACACATTTAAGGTGTGAACCCACACTTAGGGTTTTAATCGTCGGCTCATATGGATAGATAAAATATAATTTATAAATGGATAGGTACTAAGACATATATAATAAAGGTAGGTTCATATTTCGTAATATATTCTTGAATCATCTGCTTTCCAGCAAAAAAACAATACCTAGTGGACCTTTTGAAGACTATAATATATAGATTCGATCTACTTACAGGATGTGGAATAAACAGTCACAATATGTGTATATATACGTATCTCTATAACCTACTTGGTGCTGCATTTTATCTTTTTGATATTTAAATTGTTAAAAAATATACATTTTGACCTCCTTTGCAAAAGTAAAGTGTGTAAGAAAGATGCCGGATTCGCTTAGCCGTCTTGTTGTCAGAAGTTCGATATTCCTTGTCAGACTACTTTAGTTTCCGGTACTTTGGTTATCTAGTTAACCAATACCCACTTGCTGGATAGTTATATTGGGGTAACTTTTGAAATTAGAGTACTTATTGTACCAAAACGGTAGCTTGATATTTTTTCACTTGTCACAATATTGTTTGAAATGTGAATTTCAGAACTATTTACTTAGATGTTTGAACGGAAAATACATTCATTTTTATTTGATAGGACTAGAACTGAATCTAAACGTTAAGTCATAAACTCTAGCATGTGAAGATTTTTTATTTAAGGTGAAACATGCATGTGATGGAGCAACTTGTTTTCGTCTTTACTCTCTCTTTTGAGCTTTTTACGTTGATTCGTCCATTTTGATCAAAGAATCATGTCACTGTTAGTATCCAAGAAGAAGTTTTGTTTGTCAACTAAATAAGATATTGTTATTATGATGATTTTAATTGTTAATAATATGGTTTGGTGGTATAGTGGGAGAAACGGCCAAGGAGGAGGTTTTCCCGGAATCACTGGCGGTGGTGGGACCATCACACGCGGTTACAGTCAAGGTGGACCCAGCGGTGGCGGCAGCGACAGTGATGGTGGCCTTTTCTCAATGATATTTGGTAGCAATACAAGTGCGGCGGCGACGACTTTGAGGCCCGGACAAGTCTGGTCGATTTTGTTCACTATCATATTAATTTCGTATTTTTCGCACCATAGGAGATGATATTGGTTGAAGAGGTCTTATTATTTATTTAACAGTACCAAACAAGGGAATACGGGAAAAAAAAACAAACATACATATGTACACACCATTTGCATAATTGTAGATAATATGGTGGAAATATATAAAATATTTTGGGGCTTTATAAATTGGCTGGAGGAATATTTTTCATTATTATTTCTCAAATTGGCTCTTTCTTCTCTTTGAAATTATAATATTGTAATTAAAAAAGGGGAGCTAAGAGAAAATGAGAATTTTCATGGGACACTACTTGAGTTTGGTCCTAAATCAACTTCAAGAAACTTATCTTCTTCCTTTTATTTTATTTCATTAATTATATAGAACAAAAAGTTCTGTTCCAATTTAAAACATTCGAGTATAAGTGTGAAACTTAGAATAAATCCACAGCGGTAGTGCGTCAGAATAATCAGAAGTAGTAGTAAACATTCATAGTAGATAAAGGACATGAAAATGAAACTCCAATGTCAAAAGTCAAAAGAGCTACAAAATCATGAGCCATAAACAAACCTAAGAGTTTTCAAACCATGAGGGTCATTACCATAGACAAGAAAAAGCCCACAAAAGACTAAAAGTAGAAAAACACTTAGTAACGTTTCAAATAAACTTGGGCTTACTTAGCCTAGATAGAGAGATAGTGAGACCTACTTACAAGTCACTTCAGGTCTTTTTTATTACCATCCGGATTTTTTGTCTCCGGTTCCCCACGCCGAGCCACTTGATGACGACGTTCCTGCGTCTGTTTTGCCTCCCCATGCATTATCAGCTTCTCCACTCGTTTTAACATCATCACTTGACTTTTTTCCCCAACCGTCATTGTTGTTTCCTGTATTTTCCTGTTCTTTAGCGGTTCCCCAAGCTGCTGCTTTGTTTTCATCGCTTGGTTTGTCACCATCACCAGCAATGGTTTCCTTCTTTGAGTTAGCACCCCAGCTTCCACCAGCATTGGTTTCCTCCTTGGAGTTAGCACCCCAGCTTCCACCAGCATTGGTTTCCTTCTTTGAGTTAGCACCCCAGCTTCCACCAGAATTGGTTTCCTCCTTGGAGTTGGCACCCCAGCTTCCACCAGCACTGGTTTCTTTCTTGGAATTAGTATCCCAGCTACCCCAGTTGCCACCAGCTGATGGTGAATCAGATGGCTTTGCACTGTTTGAATCCTCTCCCCAAGTTTTTTTCCAGTCTGATCCACCACTTTGGTTGCTCTTCCAAGCAGTGTTTTCTTGATTGTCTCTCTTCCAGCCAGATGATTCAAACGAGCGTCCTCCATCTCTACCTGATTGGTTTCTACCTCCGCGGAAACCTCCTCGGAATCCCCCTCCTCTTCTTCCACCAAACCCACCACGACCACCACTCTGTTCTCCCCACGGTTTAGAACCGCCATCACCTTGTTTGGACCAGCTTGTCCCCCCACCACCATCGTTGCTCTGCTTACTCCAAGCAGAACCACCACCATCCTGTTGACCCCAGTTAGATCCTCCACCAGCATCATTTTTCTTCCCCCAGCTAGATCCACCACCAGCATTACTGTCTTGACCCCAGCTTGAACCTCCGCCAACACCAGCATCATTTTTCTTCCCCCAGCTAGAGCCTCCGCCATCACTTCCTTGCTTTCCCCAGCTGGATCCACCACCGGCATTATTCTCTTGACCCCAGCTTGATCCGCCGGCACCACCAGAATCATTTTTCTTCCCCCAGCTAGAGCCTCCCCCATCACTGGCTTGCTTTCCCCAGCTGGACCCACCACCAGCATTATTCTCTTGACCCCAGCTTGAACCGCCGGCACCACCAGAATCATTTTTCTTCCCCCAGCTAGAGCCTCCCCCATCACTGGCTTGCTTTCCCCAGCTGGATCCACCACCAGCATTATTGTCTTGACCCCAGCTTGAACCGCCGGCACGACCAGAATCATTCTTCTTCCCCCAGCTAGATCCACCACCAGAATCACTATCTTTACTCCAACTTGAACCACCGCCACCACCAGCATTATTCTGCTTGCTCCAGCTAGATCCACTACCAGCATCATTATCTTTACCCCAGCTAGAACCGCCTCCACCGCCGTCTTGCTTGGCCCAGGTAGATCCACCACCTGGTTTACTCCATGGAGCGTTATCCTACAACATTGCAATGTACAAATATGAGACTTTATCACTTTAACATACTATAAAAACAGCAATAGAAAAAAGTTTCCTCTCAAACTAACCTCCGAATGACCAAATGATCTTCCCCTCCCAAACTGATCCCTACCACCTCGACGACCTCCACCTCTTCTACCACCAAACCCACGTCCTCCCCGATCAAATGTTTGTTCTGAGTACCCTCCATCATCTTTTTTACCCCACGTAGATCCCCCATCGTCTTTTTTGGCCCAAGAAGATCCACTCTCAACCTTTTTACCCCAAGACGATCCTGCATCCTTATTACCGTCATCCTTTTTGACCCAAGACGCTCCATCATCATCCTTTTTGCCCCAAGACGCTCCAAGTTCATCCTTTTTGCCCCAAGCTCCTCCATCATCCTTATCACAGTCAACTTTTTTACCCCACGAAGATCCTCCATCGTCCTCATTAGCTTCAACCTTTTTGCCCCAAGAAGATTCTACATCATCCTTGACAACGTTATCAACCTTTTTACCCCACGTTGGGCCTGTTGAGCCTCCATCGTCCTTCTTACCCCAAGAAGACCCTCCGTCATCTTTAATACTGTCATTCTTCTTACCCCATGACGATCCTCCATCATCCTTACCCCACACAGATCCTCCCTGGTTCCCGTCAGAGCCTTTATCCTGATGCCCCCAGGAAACTCCCTCTTTGTTACTTGCGCTGGAATTTCCATCTTTCTTGCCCCAGGTAGATTCTCCATTTCCTTTTACCAAATCAGAATCAGATCCACTTTTCTTTCCCCATGAAGATTCTTCTTTCTTCTGGCTCGATTCTTCAACTAGTTTACCCCATATTGAGTCATCATCTTTGTTATTACCATCAGAGCTTCCACCATGCTTACCCCAAGAACCTAAATCTTCAACATTGGAAGTTGAAGCTCCTTGTTTTCCCCAAGAAGCTTCACCTTTCGGAGCACTTGCATCTCCCCAAACACCAACAGTGCTAGCTTCAGAAGCAGGTGGTTTACCCCAGGAATTCCAACCACCGGATTGATCACCAGCAGAGTCAGGTTTGTTCTCAGCCGCTGCTGTATTGCCCCAAGTTGAAGTGTTATCTTCTGACGTGCCTGCTCCTTTTGCCCAATCTACCAAACGGGAAAGATGGAAAGTTAGAAGAATATAATCTGACTTATCAGATAAGATAAGGAAGCAGGTTAGAATATCTTCAAAATGTTCATATACTCAAACCATCTAAGCTCAAAGACGGTGTGACATGTGTATTTGAAGCCAAACTGAGTGAAATTGAACGTCAACAAGAAACACCAACCTCCATTGTTGCCTTCTGTTCCAAGCATGTCAAACTGTTGAAAGGAACCCATCCCAGCATCGCCACTTCATACAAACAGACAAAGCGTAAGCGACGTTGGCATTTGACAGAAAGAGAAATGTATGATATAATTACACAATGGAAAAAAAAGTTTCCGAGCAGAGAGAGTATTCTAGGAGATTCACGGGAAATTACCTCGTATTTGCCTCAGTATTTCTGTCACGAACCTCAGCAAGATGCTCACTTTTGACTGAAGCACACAATTAAAAAAAATCAAAAGCACATCAAAAAGTATTGAATCGATGGTCATGAAAACAAACCTGTGAAAGTTTTATGCTGGGAATCAAGCTTGACTGTGATGTCAGAATAACGCAACGCTATTACACGGCAGAGATATCCCTTCAGTGGACCTACACGTATCCTCAGCTTTTGGCCAATAGAATACATGCTACCTTTGTCTCCCTGGTTGGCTGCATATGATGATAAATTCATGAGAAGACTAAGGCCTTTACTAGACGCTGGATAATATTAACACTCCAAACATAATACATACAGTTAATGTATTTCTCCTTGGGCTGCCATTCTTTTTCAGGAGATAATGGCGATTTAGGAGAGGATGTAGAATCTCCAAAAGCAGAAGCGTCAAATCCACCAGTCTGTGAAAAAAAGAATGTCATTAGAACATGAAGATCTGTCAATTGCAGGGTCTGGATTATCGTACCATGTCATTGGATTCTTCAGTAAAAAGTTTAACTTTCTCACACGATTGTGATTTGCAACACAAATATCCACCATTTTCTTCCTCGCCCTCAGCATAGAGAAATATGATGCCTCTGTATACTTGCCTTACAACTCCTTGTTTACCCTGAAATTGTATTTTATGCATCAGAAGTAAAACGCGTTTACACAATTTAGACCACCTAATCATGTGAAAGAAAAGTGCTACTTATAAACAGGATATAAGTGAAAAATTACCTCAGATGGGCCTTTGGAAATCTTCACAACATCATTAATTGAAACTTGTTTTTTATTCAGATCCAGGGCAGAAAATTTTGAATCAAATGGTTCCTCCTGCATTTCCTTTTTTCCAACACTGACTACAACGGGTCCATCAGAACCTTCTTTCAGAACCTGGTATCATGCAACTCATCAGGGACAGGCCATATAGTAATATGAGAATTCGAGTAACTAACTACATACCTTGTAACCGTCGCCTTTGTCATCCACTCCCACAATCAGACCGAAATCTTTCCGGCTACAAAAGGAAAGAATAAAGTGCTTAACATATAAAATTACATCAAAGAGGCAAAAATGTGTGTGACTCCATACCTAAAACAAACTAGTTTATATAACGCATAGCTACTTTCTGACTGAGATTCTGATGATCTTTCTCCTTTTCCACCCCCTGATCCTTCTCCTTTTCCACCCCCTGATCCTTCTCCTTTTCCACCCCCTGATCCTTCTCCTTTCTCACGCTCTTTGCCAGTGGGAAGACTTTTCTTCTCCTTTTCTTCACCATAAATTTCGGAAATCCACTCCACGTCACCAGTGTCTTTCTTTTCCAGAGGAGTAAATTTTAATATCTCCTCCTTTGATGGTTTAACCCCACAGGAAGTTAGTGAATCCAGGGATACTTTTTTATACACGAAGCCATCTTTCAGAATCAGGCTATCAAGATGCTCAAAAGTCATTCCAGTATCACGATCACGCCTCACTTGAATGATAGGCCTGAACTCCCTGTGAAAAAGAAGTGACAAGATATATTAATAATTTTTTTGCTAAACGAGAAGAATAGGTCAAGTTTATTACTCAAGCTCGCTTGGACTGATCAATCTTGGAGCTGGGTTCAAGCCTTTCTGGACAGCAACTCCTCCACCCTGCACAAAAGATTTCAAGCAAATGATAAGCTAAAGAACATACGAAAAACAGTGGTCCACTATGGGGGCAAAGACAAATAAATGAGTATGAAGATAGGGGAGCTACATATTTTTGGGCCAGTGCTGCCATATCAATCCTTGGAATCAACTTTATCAGAGCTTTTCCCCGTGTGTCACTCACAGCCACAACCTACAAGGACACAGAGCAAACTGTTAGTCAGCCTTAAGCAGACAACAAGCTGGAAAGAAGACATATAAAGAAACCAAAGGAAATTGTACCTGAGCAAGATCTCCTTTGTATTTACCACTCTTAATACGAGCCCATGTTCCCTCCGAAAAGGTTTTCGTTTTTCTTTGTACAGTAAGTAGATGAGGAGCTTCAGATTTAGGAAATAGTATCATCCGAGTGGCATAGATGCCGTTTAAGTTCAAGCATGCCTAGGAAAAATGAAAATCAGAATATCAGACACGTCATCCTCCAACATACTTTCATCGAGGTACAACAATATTTCAGTATAGGCATGCTAAATGTTTATTACCTCAAGAACATCTTGTTCCTTGTCAGCTTCTATGAAGATAAACCCCTTGACATGCTCCACAAAAAACACAGACAAGATCCTTAGTTTGGTGCCTATCTTCCGCAGCTCAACAAACTTGTGCATGAGACAGAAAACTGAATGCTTCTCCCTTCCAATCTACACGCATAAAAACAACTGAACTCAGCAGAAGTATAAGAACATATTGTGTTAAAGCATAAGTAAAAGCCTTCGTTTCAACATACCGCACACTTTATTTTCCATATTGGAGGATCATGGGCAGTTGGAACAAGGGCATCCATTTCGATGGAACTTTTAACATCATCAGCTGCATATCTAACAAAGCCAGAACCAGGCTTGTATCTTTCTTCCATCATTCTATCGTAATCATCCTCGTTCATCTCCTCTTCCTTAGGAAAAACAAAGGAAGAGTTGCCCTTTCCTTCTTTGTCATCCTTTCCACTTGTCTCCAGCTCAGGTTCATCTCCAATATCTGCTTCAAGTGAACAGTTAGAGAAAGATAACAATATTCAGTAAAACAAGAAAAAACAGCTCAAAACTCAAACAAAAACTAAGCCAAAACCCTAGCCTCGGAAATTAGCTATTCAAACAAAGATGACAACTTTCTGCAATACTCAGGCATGCAAAGCCCTAAAAGATGACAGAACAGCTCGAAACTCAGACGAGAACTAACTCAAAACACAAACCCGTCTCGAAAGTTAGCTATTCTAACAAATATGGCAAGTTTATGCAATATTCAGGCACAAGCCTTAAAAAAGGACAAAACAGCTGGAAACTCGAATTAGAACTAACTCAACACACAAACCCCACCCTCGGAAATTAGCTATTCCGACAAAGATAGCAACTTTCTGCAATTTTCAGACACGCAATCCTTAAACCAAGACAAAACAGCTCAAAACTCAAACGAGAATTAACTCAAAACACAAACCTTAGTCTTAAAAGTTAACTATCCCAACAAAGATGGCAACTTTCTGCAATATTCAGAACACAAGCCTTAAAACAAGACAAAACAGCTCGAAACTCAAACAAGAATTACCTCAACACACAAACCCTAGTCACGGAAATTAGCTATTCCAACAAAGATCGACACTTTATAAGACATAAATCATCAAATGTGACAAAATCAGAGTAACGAAAACGAACATTAACGAAGCAACGAGACACATGCAAAGAGAAAAAAAACTGAAATTACCGTTAAGGAAGTCATCGATGTCTTCGTCGGAGCTTTCTCCGTAGTAACCAACCTCTGCTGATTCCTCGAAGAACTGAAGAACCCCTGGTTTTTTCCGCTTACTATTAATCCTCAAGCCTTCGTCTCTAAACTCGACTCCTCCTCCTTTTCGTTTCTTTCCGGAAGAAGATCCAGCTCCGGCGATCTGTTTTCCCTTTCCCTTACGATCCATCTTCTTCGCGGTGTGTTTTAGGGCTTTCTCAAAGTTTCATCTCCGAGAGAGAGTGAAGAAGAAAAGCTTTTCGTGTGAAGTGTGGTGTGATCGTACGAGACCTTTGACTTGGTCTTTTTTACTATCTAAGGCCTTTTGGGCTGTTAAATGGCCACATTAAAAAGCCTTTTAACCCTCAAAGTAGAAAAAGAGATTTACGATTTGCCCTCGCATGTCTCTATAATTGTTGTTTTGCCACTTCTTGGTTATGGTTATTCTGTAACCAATGGTGTATACCCTCTCTGATCTTTACTATTTGATTTACCCTCAATTTGTTCTATAATTATAGTTTTGCCCTCTGGTTAAGGTCAGCGAAAGTCGAACCAACAAAAGTGTCATCACGAGGCCGAGGCCCATTCTAAACTTCTTTCATGGGCCCTAAACATAAAGCTTTGATCGGGTTAAGTTCATAGACCAGAAATAATTTTCATATTACCAGATTCTAATGAGGAACGAATTAATTAAGCCACTGAAAACCACATGTGCTTAGTTAATAACAAGAACTCAAGTTTAATCATTACAAAATACATCATGTCTTAGTAACATCCTGCCAGAAAAAACATCATGTCTTTGTAATATTACCAAAACACGTCTTTTCACTTAAGGGTAGATGCATACTATATATACTGTCGAATGAATTTTTCTCACCTAAATTTTCTTGCTAGTTTTTACTTCATGATAAGACCATGCATAAAAATAAATACAGGGGAATATATTTGGTTGATTAGAAAAAAAAAAAATTGGTTGAGAAATATTGTTTTAACTTTACAAAAAAATAAAATGAAAGACAAGAAGCTTGATTCCACGTGAGATCCAAGTCACAATGTTTAGATGTGCCCTAATCACGCATTCCTCAATAAATTAGCTTTAATCAGCCCACAGTTTTGGAACAAAACAAGTCAGAGAAACTGGAATCAACCATATATATATTATTATTTAATTCAGTTCACATACTATAGTACTATCCTAGTAGACCATATACAGTACATACCTGTAATCATAAAAAATGATTTTTCAATTAACAGTTTGAAACAAAAATACTGCTACAACTTAAAAATAGGTGTTTAGTCAAGTTTTAAATTTATGATGGCTTTAAAAGGCTTCAATATTTTATTCTATTTTAACTTCAACTTTATTGCATTAATTAATAACTTGATAACTTACATAGTATTGATGCAAATATTCAGTTACAAATATAGGAACATAGTTATAACATTGGAAATATTGATTTTAATATAGGGACGTTTTTTTTTTTTTTTAATTATGCCAGGGACGTTGGCTTCAATATTTCTACAAGCAGGAAAGAAAGCTTTCGTATTTGAAGTGTTTTATGATATTAAACATTTATAAATTTGAATATCTAGCTTTGCTACATAAATAGATATTTTTAAAAAATTTAAATAGATATACACATGCAGGATGTTTAACTTCTGAAGTGCATGTGCAGCAGTGTAGGGTATCGTGTTCAATAGTATGATGAAAAAGTGTTCGGTAGTATTATTAATTATTTTACATACACTTTCCAGAATATTTTTGGAGAAAATTAGAAATATCATGAGTCCATGACGTACGGGTAAACACTATGACAAACTAACTTTGGTATAAAGTATTACAATTTTCTTCAAGGTCTTACATGGTTAGTAGTAGATATATAAAAACGATGCTCTTTCTGACCAATGACGAAGTTAAAAAATGTAATCATGTGAACTGGTTCTAAGCATCCATGTTCCCATGTGGACACATGTAATTGACTTACGATCACTAATTAAGAAAAGATAGGGAAGAAATAAGGCTCAACAGTCGTAGTACACAAATGATTTAAAAAATTCATTCATTACTGGGATTTAAATATTTAAGTTAATCCGGCAAATATAAGCTTGCCAAATAACGATTTCAAATTAAGAACTGAAGGATTGTTTTTTAATCGAAATGTTTTAATTTGAACATCTGCGTAACTGTTAAAATAATTATATCGAACGAACAGGTTGTGATTATGATGGAGATGGTCACGCACCAACATAATTACTAAAATGGGCTGTCAAGATTCGAAAACAGAAAATGTTTTAGAGAACAGAACATTTTAAACAAGTGTACACCATTGAGTCGGCCTCTGTACATTATTGTACGTTCACTAGTTAACACTGTGATTTTCCCCTCGATCAGACTTGATTCAAGATTCCTGACCTAATAGACCATCTATTAAATGTCATTAAAATTATATGTACGAAGAATAAAGAATACTATATTGCGTTTCCAAAAAAAAAGAATACTATATTAAAATCATGCTAAGAGAAAAAAAATATTCGAACAAATGCTTACTAAGAAAATGTTTTTAAATAGAATATACGGAGTCGTGGAATATACAACCAGATACAACCTACGAAAACGCGGAACGATGCAAAGGTACCAGGTTGTCTGCCATGATATGGGTAGATAACCCATCTTCCCAAAGAAAATAATTGCTTGCAACGTTTTTCTTTTTCACAATTCTATAATGCTTTTATAAAAGTTGAGTATTTCTAAAAAGTTTGACTATCAACGTACAAATATACTAGTTGATACTTATCAAAAATAAAAACTAGTTAGCCTGTATAGATCTAATTATCGCAGGTGTATAAATAGTATTTATTTCCCATCCGAGGTGAGTCTTGCTTAGAACCTGCGCCTGATCTATAGCATAGCATGTGTCTAAATAACGACCACTTTCACATGTTTTTACCCTTGAGAACATCTCCAAATATAACTCCATCTTTTTATTTAATATAAAATTGAGTTCACTCAAACTCTATTTTATTTTCGAATAAAATTACAATAATGAACAGAAGATAAAAAGATTAGTTGATTTATAGAGTAAATCCATGTTTACTTTGTTTTTTTTTTTTGAACACCCATGTTTACTTTGTTATACAGTGAAAAATATAGTAGAACATTTTCTTAATATCAATTTCATTTCTAAGTAAATCATTGAGGGGTGTTGGAGATATTATAACTCATCTATTTGTCTGTTAGTGTGTTTACATTGCTAATAATTTCTACAACACCATATCTTACGATTAGCAATTTAGCATGGTCAATTTTATCTCTTTCTTGGTAGGTTTTGTTTAGTGATATTGAGTATAAAGATTCTGTTCAATAAGATCCGAATAATATTTTAACTAGTTAGTAGTACTTACTGACTATTCTCTTCTTTCGATTGTTATTAGTACTTTTTATTAACACCAAGTTTTACACATCAGCAAATGCATACTAAATTATCAATATATCAGCTTTAGGAGAAAAGACATCACTTTAATGGCAAAAAGAGAAATGGAAAAGTGATATCCATGTGAATGAAGCATTTTATCCACTTACGTATAATTTCAAGTTTTAAAGTAGTAATTTAGTAATGTTTATAAAGCCTTGCTGTTTTGATGATCTTCAGGTGGATGTGTGGGAGACAAGAAATCTCTCTTTGTTTGATGTGTAGTGTACTATGTTTATCAACTTGCCCTGAGCACTTAAGTGTTTATACTCACTTCCAAGTCAATGAATATTATCTATCCAAGCATTTTTTTCGTTTATAATTAATTGCGTATGTTATCTAATTGGTAGATGTAGTTGTATGCATTTTTTCTTGCTCTCCATTAGCTGAGAGTTAAAAAAATAAAAAAGCTTAGCTGAGAGACGACAATAAGTTAAACCTCACCATCATCTTGAAATTGAGTTTTTCCCATAAGTTTGGTAAGTCTTCAATTCGGAGACGCACATCATTATAAGACATTCGTTCTAAATTTATTCATATATCTCTACATCATAGCTAGGAAACTAGTATACTCCAATAAGAGGACAGGCTGTTCATATAATTTCATTACTCACCAAGACCAATACTTTTGTAGTGCGGCCACACTCACGATGTTTAATATTGGGGTCATAAGGGCCATCCTAACCGTGGAGTATATATCAGTGTCCAATAGCTTGAATGAAAACTAGCTCCATATTTATCATCCATATTTTATAGGAAATTGATATTTGGTGTATGGATAGACAATCCAAATTTTTATCCGTTTTGAATGCTTGTAAAACTGTTTAAATTAAAATCCAGTCAAATATATATACTGTAATATTCCTGTGAACATATTAATTACCAAATTTCTTAATTAATGTTTAGAACTAAATTTTATTATTATATGATATTTTTTTGAATTTTCTATAATATATGCATAGAGTTTATTTGTGTATGTGTATGTTCCAGCATAATCATAATGGATTATTATTATTATTAATTTTTTTTAGGGACGTTCACTGTACAGTGAAACCTCTATAAATTAATAATGTTGGGACTACATCAAAATTTTAATTTTTTTATTAATTCAGAAAGATATTAATTTATCGATATATTAACTGAACCAAAAACTTAATTTAAGACTATGAAATTATATTATTTTATAGAGATATTTAGTGTATATTAATTTATCGATTATTTATTTATAAAGGTTCTACTGTATAACCAAAAGAACATCACTGTGTATATTAATCCATTACGATTTATGAATAAGATTCGACAGCAACACATAATGACGACATCACTAAAACATACAGAATGATGTATTACTAAATTAATATACCAGTAATAAACAATAGAAATTAGTACATGTAAACACCTAATCATATGTAAACTATATAGAGAAACTTTTTTTTTTTGCCATGTGTAAGTGGACTATTCGAACTTGGTGTTAATTCTTTTGTTTGGAAAACTTATCTTAACAAAAATGCAAATACTTCCATTTTATATAAGTTAAGGTTTCTAAACAAAGAAGATATGTTTCTGAATATGAAATATAAAAATCATATTCTATTAGAAAGAAGTACAAATTATAATTTAGTATATAATTTTGTATCTGATATTTAGTATGAAGGGTTTTGAGGGTAGTAGGGTTGGGATCCAAAATGACTGTTCGGTTTAGAGAGGATAAACCAGGCAAACAAGAAAAAAACCAGAAACATGGTCCGGTTTAGTTTACCTAAGCTATTGCGTCCGTCTCTATAAATACCATACTCCGAGCCTCTTCT